GGCTGGCTCCCGCACTGCGTCGCCCCCTGGCGCCAGAGGCCGCCCGGCTGGGGACGGAGCGCGGGGCGCTTTGCAGCCGCGTCCTTCCCGAAAGGGGGATTCATGGCTCTGGAATGTAGCAGCGGCTCTGACGCGCCTCCGCCTGGCAGCGACTTTCCATCTGCAGGCGGCCGGGGCGGAGGCAAACCCTCCTTTTGAACTTGACTGCAAGGAGAGAGGGCGACTCCCTGGGCCCGGCTGCTGCTCCTGCCTTGTGCATCTTGTCGGTGGTAGGCAAAGCCCAGTCTTTACCCTGGGCACCCTGGTGAGTGACTGGCCTGGCCCGCCTTGCGCTCCAGCACCTATGGAGCAAGCGGGGAGTGTGTGAGTGTCACTTCTAGGAGGAACCCAGCTTGGCTTGGCTAGGACCAATTGTCAGTCACTTCTTCCTCTCCTCCTTCCTGGGCTCTCGTGTGGACGCCCAGGAAGGATTTGCATTGCAGGGGAGTATCTGGCAATGCCGATGGGAGAAGATTGCACGACATTCTTCCCGCTCCTGCTTTGGCAAACTTTTCACCGATGTCAAGGGGTTTGCCTGGGATTAGTAGCTGTACTAATAGCTAATGGCTGGATTCCTATACTCTCCCTGTTGGGTAGCATCTGACTTCACAAATGATCTGGTGAGATCTCAGTGAGGCTAGAGTTGCAGGAACAAGCACAGATACACAACTTGAATTTTTGCCCTGAAACTGGACTGGGCGGGGAGGGGAGTAAGATGGGGAAAGGAAAAAAAATCCTGTTCAGATGTTACTTTGTACATGCTCTCTGCACTTCCTAGTTCTGACCTGGAGCACAGACACCAAGACAAGGAAGGCTGCTCTCTAAGAGTATCCAGCTTAGTGCTATAGACTCAAGTTCAGAGAGCTGGGAAGAGAAACCTTCAAAATGCAGTTTGCCCACTATGGGTGGGTGGGAGTTTCCAAATGCCCTCCTATGCACTGTAACTCCGGTACTTGCAGTCTAGCTCAGAATAATAGCAGTACTTAATTTACTAAATTTGGCCAAGCCAAATTCCCATTGAAGTCAGTGGGTGTTTTCCTATTGACTAAAGGGGAAACTGAATCAGGTCCTAATATCATGGTCTGATTTCAAAAGGAAATAATTCAGAAGGTGACTTGCATTAAGAACAGAAGACTGGCCATACTGGGTCAGACCAAAGGTCCTTCTAGCCCAGTATCCTGTCTGCTGACAGTGGCCAGCACCAGGTGCCCCAAAGGGGATGGACCGAAGACAATGATCAAGCAATTTGTCTTCTGCCATCCTCCCCCAGCCTCTGACAAAGGCCAGGGGCACCATTCCTAACCCCCTGGCTAATAGCCTTTTATGGATCTAACCTCCATGAATTTATCTAGCTCTTTTTTAAACTCAGTTCTAGTTTTAGCAGGCTCCTCTGGCAAGGAGTTCCACAGGTTGACTGCGTGCTGTGTGAAGAAGAACTTTGTTTTATTTGTTTTAAACCTGCTATCCATTACTTTAATTTGGTGTCCTCTAGTTCTTATATTATGGGAACAAGTAAATAATTTTTCTTTATTCACCTTCTCCATTCCACTCATGATTTTATGGAGGGGGAGAATAAAGAAAAGTTATTTACTTGTTCCCATAATAGAAGAACTGGCATGTAGTGGCTCATGGATGAGATTGCCCAGCGAGCATGCTTTTTGCGGGATTAGCTTAGCTTGGCTGTATTTGGGCAGAATTACCTTAACGTTAGTTGGGAATCTCGCTAACCACTAGAATTTGTCTCCCAGAAGCTGTAAACCTTATTGGTAGCTTGTAGGGTGTGCTCCTGTATTCATGTTTGTGTGCAAAGTCCCAAGGGTAAAACACATTGAGTTGTTTATATTTTAAATCAATTCCAGGACATGAAGAGAGCAGTTTCATAATTAAAGGGACAGTATCAAGATGAAAATCCTGTATCACTTGATTTTGTCTTACCTGCATTTACTAATGATATCAGTGATTTGTTTAAAACCTGATGCCATTTGTTTACTTTTGTTTACTTTTTGCATTTCACTCCATTAAGAGAGTGAAACTCAGCTGGTCAGGATCACTTTCTGTTTATAGTCAGTTTAATTTTCATGCTGGTACGTTGGTCCAATGCTCTTGGGTTTCGGGAGTTTATTAAAAAGTGCATAGGAATGTTGAATTGCAATTCACAGAAATAAAAAGCAAATTCTGTCCACCCTTCAAACACGTACCTTTTGACCACAGTATTTCAGAGCTGAGGGAGCCTTATGAAAGGGATAATATCAGAGGAACTCTTCTCTCTGTTCATTATTATCTGATCTGGTTCACTTTTACCTGGGCTTTGCTCACTGAAGACTCGTACAACTTCTGTTTTCCCAGATTAGGGGCCTCCGGTTCTAAAAACATAAGCTTGAGTGAAATGGGTGACTATTAACCAACACTGAGGCAGGTTCATCAGCTTCCTTTTATGACCCTGCCCCCGCTATAGTGTGAAACCTGAGTGGGTTTCACACTAGCAATAATGCCATGATCTGCATAAGGGTGCTGACGTTGCAGCCCTTCCAGAGACAAAACTTCCTGTGATGGAAGAACTTTGCCTAATTAAGGATGGTGAGATGGGTGCCAATGGAGAACTTGCATGATCAAAACTAGCTTTTCCCTGTGTCGTGCAGTGTCGGCCGGGGCTCATGGAGAACGGCACGCGCAACCCAAGCCTCCGAGATGTCTACACGGCTGCCGGTCGCCTCTTCCACAAACAGGAGCGGCTACAAAGATCTGATGGTCAAACTGACCGAGGGGCAGTATGTGCTGTGCAGGTGGACTGATGGACTCTATTACCTTGGCAAGATCAAGAGGGTAAAGTGGGCGTTCAAAGTCCTATTCAGTCTGACATGGTTCCTTGGATTCCGGAGACGTGCTCGAATTGGAACCTATAGCCAAAGCAGTGTTTCTTAAACTTTTTATGACTGAGGAACACCAAACAATACTTTTGTTTTATGCGGAACACCAAGGATTTTTGGTTGGGGGGGAGGGGGGGAGGTCGGGGAGGAAAAAAAAAAGTTGCCTGCCCCTTTAAGGACGGCCATTTTGAAGTCTGCTGTTCTCCACGGCACACCTCCAACTACCTTGTGGCGCCACGGAACACAGTTTAAGAAACACTGATCCAAAGGCTCCAGGTGCTATGGGGAGTGGGGAAGGGGTGGAATCTGAACGGAACATCCCAGCAGATCCCAACCCCGATATCTCAACTGTGGCAGAGACCCAGATCCTGCCTTCAAGGGCCCCCCAACTTCAGCTGTTGTGAAATCTGGATCAGGGTCCTGGTTTGGGTGAATGGGTCTGTCCCTTTATAAAGGGTGAAATAGGCGCCCTTTGCTCTGCCCACACGAGGTCTGTCCTGGGTTCACTTCCTAGTGCAGCAGTTTTCAATTTTTTTTTTCCCCATGACCCAGTTGAAGAAAATTTTTGGTGCCACGACCCCACATCATTTGACTAGAGCGTGGGCTCCAGGGCGGGGCTGAGGAGAGTTCGGGGCTGCAGGAGGGGGCTCCGGCTTTGTGGGTGTGGCTTTGTGGGTGGGGCAGGGGCTGACCTTGAGCGGCTCCTGGTCAGTGGTGCAGCAGGGGGGCTAAGGCAGCTTCCTGCCTCTCCTGGCCCTGCAGACTGTGCTGCATCCCAGCCAATGGGAGCGCAGAGGTAGTGCACGGAGCCTTGTGCGCTCCCCTTCCCCCTCCCCACCTAGGAGCCGGGCCTGTTGCTGGCCGTGTCCAGGGCGCAGCGCAGTCTGAAGTGCGGGACAGGCAGGGAGCTGCCTTATCCCCCCACTGCTCACCTGATCCCCCAGCAGCAATGAGACCCAGCGCCTGACATTCCTGGGCATGACCCCTAGTTTGAAAACCCCCTAGCCTAAGGGTTTCCCGGTTATCCCCTGAAGTTTCCTTCACAGAGGCCTGATCCCTGCAAATCTGTCCGGAGGTTTGTTAGACTCCAAGAGCAGCGCCCCTCCACGCAGACAAGTCCCCAGTCCTAGCGTCTACTCTCTCGGTCCCTTAAAATAGCATCTCTCACGGGTGTCGGGCATTTCTGTTTCTAATCCTGATAGCAACCACAGAGCCTAGCAAACCTTAGGGTAAGCCTGTGTGCTCTAAATGCCTCTGGGGAATTGAGGGAGACGGTGGGTTGAGGAAATCTCAGAAAATGAAGGTGATCTGGGTTTGTCCCATTTCTCCAAATTGCGTCTCTCTTCCTTTCTTATTAAACACAGCTGGAAGTTCGACATTGTGTGTTTCTGATGGGGAAGAAGTGGTGTTTAATTTTTTCCAGCCATGTGCAGAATAAATTTTGTTCTGTGCACCAATGCATGTGCTGATGTGCACCACCCATAGAAACACACACTGCCAGCTGTGGCTGCTCTGCTAATCAGCTGGGCGGCATTTGACACTCTCCCAGGTGGTCCCTCATGAGCTCCTCTCACCGGGAGCCCTGAAGCAGACCGTCATCGTGTTCGTGGGCTCCTCAGCGGGGAACCCACGGGCTAGCTGAGCATGGAAACAAACACACACACCCCTGTCCTGGGGGCACTCTACGGTGGGGTGGGCGCGGGCAGCGTTGGTTCTCAGGGCTGTCAGTCAGGCGCCCCTCGCCTCCGCCGAGTGCAGCGTAACCTCCGGCGAGTTCCCTGCGGTCGCATGGCGGGCAGGACGGGGCGCGTTTCAAAAAGCTGCTTACAGCGAGGGGGGAGAAAATTGCCGCTGACGTCTCTCTTGTCTGCGCAGGTCAGTGGCTCCAAGCAGAGCTGCCTTGTGACCTTCGAAGATAACTCCAAGTACTGGGTCCTCTGGAAGGATATTCAGTGCAGCGTAACCTCCGGCGAGTTCCCTGCGGTCGCATGGCGGGCAGGACGGGGCGCGTTTCAAAAAGCTGCTTACAGCGAGGGGGGAGAAAATTGCCGCTGACGTCTCTCTTGTCTGCGCAGGTCAGTGGCTCCAAGCAGAGCTGCCTTGTGACCTTCGAAGATAACTCCAAGTACTGGGTCCTCTGGAAGGATATTCAGCATGGTGAGTGATGCTGTGGTCTCTTCCCCTGCCTGGCAGGGACCACGCCCAACGGGGGCTCAGCTCCGCCTGCTCATAGGGATTGAGCTGAAGGCCTCCAAACCTCCCTTTTTGTCTCCTCTTCCTGGAGAGGCGTCCCGCTGTGAGACTTGTTCATCCAGCGCTAGCTCTGGGATCTCCTGGGATCTCTGTCACCAAGCAGGGATGCCTGGTTGGATAGAAGGTTTTGGTGTAACACAGGTGTGATGACCCAGTGAAAGAAGGGCCCATGCAGCCGTATGGTCTAGCCACCCGTCTCCTTCGGGCAGGATCTTTATTCCCTCCCTGTAGGATTTCTTCCCCTCTCCTAGCTGCAAGAGGAAGGGGTCATTGCAAATACATAAGAACATAAGAACGGCTGTACTGGGTCAGACCAAAGGTCCATCTAGCCCAGTATCCTGTCTGCCGACAGTGGCCAGCACCAGGTGCCCCAGAGAGGGTGGACCGAAGACAATGATCAAGCGATTTGTCTCCTACCATCCCTCTCCAGCCTCTGACAAACAGAGGCCAGGGACACCAATTCTATCCCCTGGCTAATAGCCTTTTATGGACCTAACCTCCATGAAATTATCTAGCTTCTCTTTAAACTCTGTTATAGTCCCAGCCTCCTCTGGCAAGGAGTTCCACAGGTTGACTACACGCTGTGTGAAGAACTTTCTTTTATTAGTTTAAAACCTGCTACCCATTAATTTCATTTGGTGTCCTCGAGTTCTTCTATTATGGGAACTAATAAATAACTTTTCTTCATCCGCCCTCTCCACACCACTCATGATTTTATATACCTCCATATAAAATATATATACTGTGGGTTGAACCTCTCTAGTCCTGAACCCTCTGGTCCGGAAGAGGGATGTTAAATTGTGGTTAATCAGCTAATCGAGGAGTTGATGGAATTTCCATCCACTACTCGAAGAGTCGTTAAGGCGGGAGGAGCACTTGCTAACCCCGCAGTGGCTCTGCAGTTTAAATGTAGTAGGAGCAACCCAGAAGGGGTAGCTCCCCGGGGCAGCATGAACCGGGGCCGAATAGTCCCAGTTTGTGCCGGCTATGGGACTCTGTGGTTCTTCCTTCTCCCCTCCCCGCCCCTGCACCACAGAGACTCGCTTTTAAGCTGGCTCCCCCCAAAGTGGGCTCCTGCTCTCGCCCCCCCTCCCAGCCCCCGCTTCCTCTGACACAGAGGCAGCAAAGGTGGGGGGAAAGCGAGTAGCCGACTCAACTACCTGATAAGCATATGCTTATCGGGTAAGTCAGCTATTCCCTTAGATTCCTAGTCTGGAAACATCCGTGTTCCGGCATGATTTTCGTTAGCTGGATGTTCACTTAGCATGGTTATCATGTTGCCGTAGTAGCAGCTGTGGCGGCCAGGAGCCCCGAGTCCTCTAGAATCATAGAACATCGAAACTGGAAGGGACCTCGAGAGGCATTGAGTCGAGTCCCAAGCCCCCGCGGCAGGACCAAGCACCGTCTAGATCATCCCTGACAGGTGTCTGTCCAACCTGCTCTTAAATATCTCCAGTGATGGAGATTCCACAACCTCCCAGGGCAATTTATTCCAGTGTTTAACCAACCTAACAGGAACTTTTTCCTAATGTCCAACTGGTGTGTCTAGACTACAGGGTTTTGTCGACAAAAGTGGACGTTTGTCGACAAAACTATACCTGCGTCTACACTACTGCCGAATTCTGTCAACATAACGTTGACAGAACTCGGCAGTTTTGTCGACGGTGGTAAACCTCATTCTACGAGGAAAAATGCCTTTTGTCGACAGAGTCCTGTTGACAGAAGGCGTTATTACATCTACGCTGTTCTTTGCGTCTACACTCATGTCGACAAAGCGGCTTGCTTTGTCGACAGAACCGGATGTAGTCTAGATACTCTTTGTCGACAGAGGCTGTGTTGACAGTATCTGTCAACATAGCCTCTGTCAACAAGTCTGTAGTCTAGACGTAAGTCTCCCTTGCTGCAACTTAAGCCCATTGCTTCTTGTCCTGTCATCAGAGGCCAAGGGGAACAATTTTTCTCCCTCCTCTTTATAACACCCTTTTAGATACTTGAAAAACGCTATCCTGTCCCCTCTCAGTCTTCTTTTTTCTAAACTAAACAAGCCCAGTTCTTTGTGTTCCCTCCTAGGTCATGTTCTCTAGACCTTTAATCCTTTTTGTTGCTCTTCTCTGGACCCTCTTCCATTCCCCGCACTGGGCCCTGTGGTAATTGACCCTTCTCTCCTCTGTCGGCTTCCATATAATAATGTGCTTCTGGGATGGGGCGTGGCTTTTATAAAGCGCCCGTCTGCCCTTCCTCCCACCCTTTGACGTGTTTTCCTCTTTTAAACCGAACGTGCAGGAATAGTTTCATCTTCCCTGAAGTGGGGATGGAGCAGGTGTTTGTACCGCTAGCGCTACTTAAACGTCGATTTTGGGACAGGAAGTGACGGGGAATACCAGGCCCTGCCGTTGCTATGGACACAGGTTGTTGCCTATGGCGCTGACCCAGAGCGGTCTCTATGCGCAGGGGATGGAATCTGCCCTTGGCGGAGTTTGCGTTCGGAGTGTGGGTTGTGCATGTGCTGCCTGCCTACGCCGACGGGTCTCCCGCCCGCCCCCGTTTAAGCGGTTCACCAATTAGCTGATTAAACGGGATTTGTCATCTCTGCTTGTTCATCCCTTTGGGTGAAGGATGCATGTCACGGGCTTTGCAAAGGGTCGTGACTATGGGATGAACTCTTCCGCCACAGAAATCGTTCTTCCTTGCTCCTGTGCCTAGCAAGAACAAAGCGAGGAAGAGACGTATGGCCCATGGGAGTCAAGGGGAGTTTTATTCAGAACATACAAATGCTTTCTCAGTGGATATCCTTTGGCTTTACCCTGGTGTGTGAGAGATGAGAAGCCAGCCCATAGATTCTGTTTATGGGCTGCCTTAGAACAGAAGTCTTGATTATTTTTATTAGTCTCTCTCCCCTCCCCCCCCCCAAAAAAAAGCTTTTAATCATACTGCTCGTGGACGTTTGGCTGTATCTCCACCACTGTGTGACATGGGACTGACATGTTTTTTTTTTTTTTTTTCCACTCCAATTTTCTGGCTGAGATCAAAGCAAACATCAGTTTTTTGCCAAGTCTAGCGGGGGTGTGGGGGGAAAAGGGGGACAAGATCTGCTGGCTCTGGGCCCACAGGTCCGTTCTTAGCTGGACTTTGTGTGGGCGAGCCTGGCTGGGTCGCAGGTGCTCCTCCCTGGGAGTGAGAGAGTTGGAAACCGAATCTCCTTCTTCGGGGAGGATGGGGGGAGGTTCTTCTGACCCAAAGTGGCAGCTGAATGGAAGGACGCGCCGGGGTGCAAGGGGATTCTGGGACGGGGTCGGTTCTCGCCTGCTGACGTGCCCGCACAGAGAGAGAATTGCTGCGGAGCTGGTAGGGTAGTGGTAGAGCGAGGCAAAGAACTTAGGAGTCACTCGGGTTCTTTCCTTTAACCGTCCTAGGGGGCTGTGCCCCCTGCTTGTGCTACTCGCCACCCCCCACCTCTGGGGATAGGCAGGCCCAGCTCTTCCTCCCCCCCACCGGCCCCAGCCTC